GCTGCACGGACTCGAGCGGTGGCATGGCACCGTCGCCTCCAACCCGGCCCATATCGGTGTCGACCCAGCCCGGATGTATGGCAACCACAGTGAAACCATCTTCGTGCAGCTCGTTGTGGAACTGAACGGTCAACATGTTGCCGGCAGCTTTGGAGGTCGCATAGGGTCCGCGAAGTCCCCATTTCTCGCCGACTTGGCTCGCAAGTGAAGCCGCTGTGGAAGAGATGTAAATAATCTTTCGAGTCTTGCGGGCTCGCAGTGCAGGGAGGAAGGCGTTGACGACTCGGTGAGGACCAGCGACATTTGTATCAAGGTAGTGAAGAAGTCTGTCGGAAGAGATCTTGGTGAGGAGCTCATCTTCCCCAATGGCACCATTGACGATCAACGTGTCTGCTTCTTTAACGAGTGCAGCTGCAGCGTCGACAGATTTCTGGTTAATCTGGTCGAGCTCGAGTACATCAACATTGGCTTTGCCCAGATCGAAGGGTTTGCGCATCGTTGCGAGGACATGGTGTTCAGGCTTCTGCGCGATATATTTTGCCAACTCGAGACCAATACCCCTGCTTGCACCTATGACGATGGTTGTATTGGCATTCATGATGAAGAAGATCTCTTGGGAGTATAGCTTTTGGATTTGCTCAAAATGTTCCGGGAAGAATAGCTTTCTGTCGTGGAATCTGCGCGGTTTAGACTGAATTGGTTGTTGAGGATGAACAACAGAATGCAAAAAAAGGCAAGACAAGAGACTCTGCTTTATAGCCATCTCCATCGATCGAGACGCAAGCCATGATGAAATGGATGTCACCTTCGTCTTCTCTGCAATTAGTCACTGACCCCTTTATACAGACAAGGCTGAGCTGCATGCGGAGCGGCGGAAGTAGAAAACCTCCGCAAGCCCGTGGGAGCTGCTGGGTCAAGACACGAGCACAAGGATATATCAACCAGTCAGCTGCCGAGTTCAAGCTCAGGAGCAGCTGATCATTTGTCCGACACAACCACTTATGAAGATCTCAGTGGCTTGCATGTTTTGAAATGCTTGACGTGTTGCGGAACGAGGAAAAAAGCCATAGTTCCGTGTGGACATGACTGGTACCGTAGAGTTCTTTCATACTCTAGACAGTTCAAGCGAAAAGCCTGCCGCACCCACCAGAAATGAGCGGCGCATTAGGACGGACCCCATGAGTCGAGATTCTGAAGCTTACAAGCCTCCTGTCCTGCTTGTCTCTCGACCAGCTTACCGATCTTGTAGACGGTTTCACCCTCAGCTTCGAGAATTTTCTTCACCTCCCCGGATGCAACGTCAGACACGACAAGGGCCATACCTATCCCATTGTTGAAAGTCCGACTCATCTCTTCGTTGCTGACATTTCCTGCTTGTTGAAGCCACTTAAAGACACCCGGGCGACCCCAAGCAGAAACGTCGATTTTGGCGGCAAGATGGCTGGGAAGCATTCTGGGTACATTTTCCAAGAGCCCGCCGCCTGTGATATGCGCCATACCCTTCACCAAGTCTCGCTTGACTGCTTGTAGTAAAGAAACAACATAGATCCGGGTCGGGGTAAGCAGTGATCTGCCCACCGTCGTTTCGAGATTCCACGGAGCAGTGTCTGATAACGCCAGATGCATTTTCTCAACGATGCGACGGACCAGGGAGAAACCGTTCGAGTGAATCCCACTCGATGCCAGACCTAGGAGGACATCGCCTTCGACCATGCTCTCGAGATCGGGCAATATTCTCTTACCGGCAGGGATATCAACAGCCCCTAGAGCGGCACCAACTGCATCGTATTCGGTGCCACTCAACAGACCAGGCATTTCAGCAGTCTCTCCTCCGACGAGTGCACAATTTGCAATCTTACAGCCCTCGCAGACACCTCGAATGAAATCACTCGCGATATCCACGTCCAGGATACTGCAAGTGTAGCAGTCGAGGAACATGAGTGGTTCTGCTCCTTGCACAACGAGGTCATTCACGTTCATAGCGACCAAGTCGATGCCGACAGTGTCGTGGACATTCATCGCATGGGCAATCTTGAGTTTTGTGCCAACTCCGTCGATGGCTCCAATGACAATTGGAGACTTTTCGTGGTAACCCGCTTTTGCAAGGTCAAAGGCACCGCCAAAGCCACCTATGACGGCGTCTGCCCCAGGACGTGCGGTCGCCTTCACTGCAGGCTTGATCCTGGAAACGAGGTTGTTCCCTGCGTCGATAGACACTCCGGCTGACGCATAGGTCATCACAGCCTCTTCTGCGCCGTTTTCCTGCGCTTTTCGCTTGAAAGCCCGATGGCCGATGTCTTTGCGGAAGTGCATACCATTGAATTTGATGCACTCCATTCCCTTATATGCCTTAGCCACCGCCTCTTCCAATGTCTCCGCAGTTGATGTCGAGCCAATCACACGGCCTCCAACAGAAATTATTTGCTTTCCATCTCTAACTGTACCGGCGTGAAAGACGAAGGTATCAGCGGGAGTTTGCTGTATTGAGATGGGTCTATTTTTTGCATAAGTGCCTGGGTAGCCTTCAGCGCATGCCACCACCGTAGCCGCAAACTTGGATTCAATCTTGAGTTCAACACCATCCAACCAATGTTCTGTACAGGCCAGCATTACCTTGGCCAGATCGGTGTCATCGCTAAGTAGAGGCAGCAGGGTTTGTGTTTCTGGGTCTCCTCCTCTGACGTTGTATTCGAGGACTTTGGGTCCGTTTTTGGTGATCATCAAGCCAGTAAATAGCATGCCGACGAAGGGCATGCCCTCACGCCGCATACAGTCGACTGTAGGTTGAACAATTTCCCGGTCAATCTGTGCAATAAGCTCTTTCGAGGCGACTCTGGTCGGCGCGTAGCAGCCCATGCCTCCAGTGTTTGGGCCCTGATCACCATCGAAGACACGCTTGTGATCTTGAGCAGGCGGCAATGACCGAATAGTGTAACCATCACTGAAAGAGAGCACACTCAGCTCCTCGCCCTCCAGAAACTCCTCGATCACGACCTGTGAGCCGGCCGAGCCGAACTCGCGAGCTACCATGATCATCTTCAGGGCATCATGCGCCTCCTGTTTCGTCTTGGGGATTATGACGCCCTTCCCAGCGGCAAGACCGTCAGCCTTGATCACGACATCATGGTTGACCGAGTCCAGGTATTCACGTGCAGATTCGTAGTCGCTGAAATTCCGGAATGCTGCCGTCGGAATGCCGTGACGAAGCATAAAGTCCTTTGAGAAGGCTTTGGAGCCTTCCATTCTCGCAGCGGCCTTGCTGGGTCCAAAGCAGCGGATGCCCACGGCTCTGAAGAACTGCTCAATACCCGCGACCAGAGGGGCCTCTGGGCCCACGACAACCAAGTTCAAACCATGCTTCCTCGCATGGGCAACGAGCTCTGTGAAGTCATCGGTGGATATGTGCACATTGACGATATTGTCAGCCTCTGTACCTCCGTTACCGGGGGCAACATGGACCACATCGACCGAAGGCGACCTGGATAACTTCCAGGCAAGGGCATGTTCTCGGCCGCCTGCACCAACAACGAGGATTCGTAGTCTCTCCGCCATTGTAAGGTATGTAGGTCCAGGAAAAAGACTCGAAAAGGAGCAGTCAGAGTCCCGCCCAAGAAGTAAAATCGTAGTCTAGCATTAAATCGGCGAGACCAGCTCTTAGAACCAAAAGACGTCAAGAGGAGGGGCAGAGAGAGAAAAAATGAGAATTGATGCCAAGCCATGGAAAATCTCGTCGCGGTTCATCCCCTTTAGGAAAGGAATTGGCGCCGTCCTACTGTCTACTACATCCAGCCCCGCCACACTTGCTTTATCTGGCTAAGTGACTATTATCACACATTTCACTGGGCATTTTTATGCATTAGATGAAATTAGTGAGGGACTTGAGTGGAATAGTAAAAGCAGCGCCGAGCCGACATTCCGAAATGCCTCCAGGAGAGCAAGATAGCGAGAGAGGTTCAGCACCAACATTGTATTCATTCCCATCTAGTCATTGTGCAGAGTGCTAGCTTGGCTAATCAGCAGGTGATGACAGCAAATCATTGAAAATCAAAACATAGACTCTATTACCAGAAGACTAGGTCATCCAGAGTCACGAGGGGATGTAGATTGACTGCGACTGAGGCTAGCTCCCTGTAAGTTCAGTCCACAACAATTAGGCTGCGAGGAGACCGTAGAATAGCATAGTAGGTAGGATACATCATGATCGAAGCACTTGAGACAGGAATTCTATATTAACCCAGCTCACTTTCTAACCCCATATCTGCACGATTCTCTTCCTGTCCAAGAGGTGTGACGAGGCAGTAGCATGGCGACGGTGGAAAGTTGTCGCGTACCGTCTGGCTCAGCAGACTCAATTCGATCCAAGTCACGAAGATGCATAAATGTGAAGGGACTGCAAAAGTTCTGTCTCTCGGGTGTTCCCCATGATATCTTCTGGACAGTTGTCTCGTCGCGGCTGAAAAAGCGAACTCCCTGCTATGATACATCCCTGAACCCACCAACTTGCAGCCACATTGAATTTTTCTCCCGACAACTGGCAAAGAAACCGATCAAATATCAAGTCACTTCTCGCATAGCAACAAAATACCGATGAAGGGTAAAGGAGGATAAAACCGAGAATGGTGGAAAAATTGACGAGTCGCGTGGGCGGATTTTGGTTTGCCATTTGTGGCTCCGATTGGCCCGATCAAGTTTTGTGGAGGGGACGAGGGAAGACTCTCGAGATCTTCGGTCTGGACTTTTTCTCTCTCTCCAAAAGCAAAAAGAATGGAAAGAGGGAGGAGTTGAGAGCGCACATCGCATGTGGTGAAAGAAGAACCACCTTCAGAGAAAAGGACGAAGGAAAAAGGGAACATAAGCAAACATCCACTTTTTTTTTCTCTTTCCATGACTTGGACCACAGAGTCATAAACACTTGCGCCAACCTCGACCGCAACCTCAACACATACACCCACGCATACAGACGTATCTCTCCAGGGTCCTAAGGGAACGTAGATCGCGCCATGTATCTCATCAGTGAGTTTGACCCTTGTGGCACACACCTTGATCTATGTGACCAGGCTAACAGCGAGATAGAGATACCATGTTCGTCCGCCAACATCGGTGAGTTTCAGCCTTGTGTGCCAATGCCATGTTACGAAGGCCTGATACTTCGGCCTTTCTTTCTCGTGCTGCTAATCCCTGACAACGTCTTCACTCACATTCAGGCCCCGGATTCGATGTCATCGGCCTCGCCCTGTCCATGTACCTCGAAATCCGAGTCAGCATCGACCGATCAGCGCCGGCAGACCCATCGTCGAACCCGCTCAACTGCACCGTCAGCTACACGGGCGTGGGCGCCGAGGACATCGACCTGAACCCAGAAAACAACCTGCTAACGCGCACGGCACTGTACGTGCTGCGGTGCCACCAGCAGCATGAGTTCCCGGCGCAGACGCACGTGCACATCCATAATCCCATCCCCCTGGGCCGCGGGCTGGGATCCTCAGGCGCCGCCGTGGTTGGCGGCGTGCTCCTCGGCAACGTCGTCGGCGGACTGAATCTGCCCAAGGCCCGGCTCCTGGACTTCTGCCTCATGGTCGAGCGGCACCCGGACAACGTCGCCGCCGCCCTCTACGGCGGCTTCGTGGGCACCTACCTCAACGAGCTCGACCCAGTCGACATGGCGCGCAAGGAGGTCCCGCTCTCAGAGGTCCTTCCCCAACCGGCCGGTGGCGTCGACACTGGCCTCATCCCCCCGATCCCGCCCGAGAATATAGGCCACTACAGGAGATTCAACTGGGCCAAGGAGATCAAGGCTCTGGCAATCATCCCGGACTTTGAGGTGAGCACGGCCAAAGCCAGACAGGTATTGCCAACCGAGTATTCTAGACAGGACATGGTAAGTTTTTTTCCCCTCCCTCCATCTCTCTAGACGTTTGTTATGGTTTTACCGAATTCTTCCCTTGAAAAGGGGAGGAAAGGGGGAAATTTCCTACCTGCTATCGCGCGAGCGAAAGGACGAAAGCCAAAAGGAACAAGAGACATACATGCATGGCAGTACTGATTCATCCCTCTCCCGCCTCCTCGGGGATCGCGGGCACAGATCTTCAATCTTCAACGCATCGCCCTCCTCACCACCGTCCTCTCCGACTCCCCTCCCGACCCCTCGCTCATCTACTCCGCCATGCAAGACAGGATCCATCAGCCTTACCGCGCCGGTCTCATCCCCGCCCTCCCCTCCATACTATCCTCCATGTCCCCCCAGACACACCCGGGACTCCTGGGAATCTGCCTGTCCGGCGCGGGACCCACCATATTGGCCCTCGCCACGGACAATTTCGAGAGCATCGCCCGTGTCATCATCAAGAAGTTCGAGGACGAGGGAATTACTTGTGAGTGGAAAGTCTTGGAGCCGGCCGAAGATGGCGCCACCGTGCAGGAAGTGCCCGGTGATGTGCTATCGTATCGGAAAGAGATCAGCAAAGCCTGACCACCACCGTCCACTGGATGACTACTGGTCCATATCAGAGCCATGTGCCTCTTCGGGAGATGCTTGTGGGGGACTGGACACCATACAGACACGCTTCAGGACACGACTTTTGCACATGCCGACCAAAAAAACACGAGGGGAAGACCTAAGCTTGCTCGCATTGCGTTCTAGACACTATCTGGAATGATGATACTCATTGAAGATGTTACTTTTGTCCCGGTACACGCTCCAATGACTCAAGTGTCCTGAAGATGTTCAGACACGCCTCTGTGCTACGCTGGAGCACTTTGGATCCTTTCCCTTCGCTCCTCGCTCCCACAATCTATGCTCCACGTGCCATTTAATTTCATCATGACCTTGTTCTCGTTGACAGCTTGCTCTAGAAATTTGCTGCGTCGCGTCCAACTACTTCAAGCATACCCGATGCTCAAAGAGTGTTTAGAAGCACTTGCGGTGCACAATCGAAGGCCCGCTCTCATCGTACTCCTGCTTGGAGATCCACATCTGTTGGAATGTGGAAAGAGAAGCCAAGATGGAACCACCAATCCAGACAGAGTATTTACGCTCGGGAGGAGCAATGATCTTGACCTTCATGGACGATGGGGCAAGAGCAGTGATTTCCTTCTGCATCCGGTCGGAGATACCGGGATACATGGTAGTACCACCAGACTGAAAAAAAGTGTCAATCATTGTGTTCATCTGATCCCAGAGAAGGTTGGACTTACCATGACAATGTTGCCGTACAAATCCTTTCGAACATCGACGTCGCATTTCATGATGGAGTTGAAAGTGGTAACGTGGATACCGCCGGATTCGAGACCCAGAACGCTTGGCTGGAAGAGGGCCTCAGGAGCTCGGAATCGTTCGTTGCCGATGGTGATGACCTGACCATCAGGTAGCTCATAAGACTTCTCCAGGCTGGAGCTCTGGGAAGCGGTTTGAATTTCTTGCTCAAAGTCGAGGGCGACGTAGCACAGCTTCTCCTTGATATCTCGGACGATTTCTCGTTCGGCAGTGGTGGAGAAAGTGTAACCGCGCTCAGCCAAGATCTTCATCAAGTAGTCGGTCAAATCACGACCAGCCATATCGACACGGGAGATGGCGTGAGGAAGGGCAAACCCTTCGTAGATGGGGACAACGTGGGTGACACCATCGCCAGAGTCCAACACAATACCAGTTGTGCGACCAGATGCGTACAGAGAGAGCACAGCCTGAATAGAAACGTAAAAGGCAGGGGCGTTGAAGGTCTCAAAGACGATCTGCGTCATCTTCTCTCTGTTGGACTTGGGGTTGATGGGAGCTTCGGTCAAGAGCACGGGGTGCTCTTCAGGGGCAACACGGAGTTCGTTGTAGAAAGTGTGATGCCAAATCTTTTCCATGTCGTCCCAGTTTGTCACAACACCGTGTTCGATGGGGTATCGCAGAGTCAAAATACCACGCTTGGACTGGGCCTCGTCGCCGACATATGAGTCTTTTTGACCCATACCGATCATGATACCATGGTGACGAGGTCGACCGACAATGGACGCTGTCACCGTGTGTGAGTTTCAGATGTTCTCGGTTCAATGCGGGGCATGGACAACTTACGGAAGACAGCTCGAGGCGCATCGTCACCGGCAAAGCCAGCTTTGCACATACCAGAGCTGGAGGAGTCATTGTCAGTATTGTGGCCACAGTTGGCGCTAATATCCTCCTCTTCCGGGTCACCCGCAATTGAAGCTCGCGTGTCGAGAGCGAGATTGTGGGTGGGCGCAGGCAGGGAAATCCGGCCGAGGATAGGGGTGCTTACCCATTGTCAATGACGAGCGCAGCAACTTCTTCTGTTGAGTGAAAGCCATATCAGTATTGGATCCGGGATCAGAACTGTGTTCAAGAAGCAATTGCACTAGAGCTGGAATTTGGCTTACCTTCCATTGTGACGGATTAGTGAAGGACGAAGTGAGGGGTGGTCGACAACGGCGAGGATGGGAGAATGGGAGAGAAATGTGAAAGGACTCGAGATGTCGAAGGTGAAAAAAGACCTTCGAGAAGACGAGCAAGGAGATTGGATAGATAGAAGGGATTGAGGATGGAGACAAGAAGCTGAGGAGGGTAAGATGGAGGAGCAGAAGTAGCGGTGGTTTGGTTTGGGCGGTGGGCTAAATCGGGCAGCTACGAGGCGCCAAGACCGGATGGGGTCAAGTCTGAGGAGCGATTCGAGCTTTCGGTGAGGGAAACGATGGCAGGGATGGCCACACTTGGTGCGGCTAAGAGTGATGAATGATGCCTGTGATGCTAGTCGTAAGACTTGGATTATGTATCAGTATTGGTTCTGGATTGCAGGGAAAAGGTGCGGCACTCAGCCTCAAATACCTTTGGGAGTGGAAGGCGAATACGCGCGGATGGGCTGGGGTCGACCGCCTCCTGCAATAAAATCTCAGGTAATGGGAGGCGCCTTTCCGTTCCTTTCTTTATTAGCGACGACTACTTGTATGGGCCACCGACTACTGACAACTAGTATGTACCAAGATGCTCAAGCTCATACGATTTTCTCCACGCGTGGCGGTATGGCCGCGCAATATGGCTTCTTCAAAGTACGGATGAGCCTCGTCACCGGGTCCCCAAGCAACAGGCAACTACAATTCCCGCCCAAGGCTGGCCTGATCAACCTCCCTAGTAATGCTAGAAATGGTGCTTTAAACCTCCCAGCCCGGGCCGTGTTTTGGCCCTTGGAGGAGTTGCTGGTGCCAAAGTGCGGCTGATGATGACGGATCCAACACTTTCCTTGCGCTTCTCGATACTACCAGTAGTATTCGGTATGGACGAAGGCACATGGGGAGATAATGACTTTTCTGCCCCACTATCGATGGACCTCAGCCGTATTAGTCGCTTTTTGTTGCTCACCGTGTCTTGACGACTCTGTAGTAAGACTTAGCGAAGTGTGAAAGGGTGCCGAAGAATCGTCCTCTGGTTTCTTGGGGGGCGTAGTTGCCCACCCACAGTGTTTTGCTAACCACCAACAGGCACCAAGTATTTCTCTCCATGGAATTTTTCTTGGAGTTTGTGTGCGTGGGCAGTTCAAGCCTCCCAGCCACAAATCGCGGGGTAGCCAAAGCCCGGAATGCGGAAGAACAATTGCCCAGCGTATCAGTGGCACAGCCACCAACGCCATTTGCAGAACAGGGCCTTAGTCATCGCTCTTAATCGAACTGACGGCACCAAACGGTCACCTCTTATTTGAGACTTATCAGAGATCCTGGCTTAATTACTCTGCTGCCTGGGATGGGGGTACTCATAACCTTGGAAATTGCTCTCAATACGATACAATGTCATATTGATTGTCCTTGAGCTCGTCGTCCCAGCCAACTAGAATTCAGAGAGGCTCGAAGGTGCAGCAGGGCCCTAGTGGCTTCTGGAAGATTCTGGATTTTGATTGGCCAGGCGTCCCGTTTCCTAACCTCATAAGAAGCCCTTGAAGAGCAACCACAGCAATCTCTTCGGACGTTTACAAGAGAATTCTCATTCAGATCATATCCTCTGAGCGAATATAATACTTTGAACACTACTAGACAGACCAATTTTTGCCCTTTTTGGAGAAATTGTAACATACCTACCTGATTGCCCATCATGGAACCAGGACTAAACTCCCTACTACAATGGAGTATCGAGAACTCCGACACTGGTCGAAACCCCGATCAGCCCGTCAGAGAACCCAGAGGCCTGTCGGCTGATGTGCTGCGCTCGCTGATGGGCGGTCCGAGCGACGCCGACTTGATGCGAGAAGCCATGGCCATCATCGAATCCTCCGACCCCGAAGTCACCCACGACGCCAAAATGACCGCCTTCGACAACCTCGAACAACTGGTCGAAAGCATAGACAACGCCAACAATATGGAGCCACTGGGCCTTTGGTCGCCGCTGCTGGCGCAACTTGAGAGCCATTCGGCAGACTTGAGACGCATGGCGGCCTGGTGCATCGGCACGGCAGTCCAGAACAACGTCAAAGCCCAGGAGCGACTCTTAGCCCTCAACGGCATTGAGCGGCTTGTCCAGGTTTCCCTCGATGACGCGGACAAGGCCGTACGAAGGAAAGCCGTCTACGCCCTGAGTTCAGGCATCCGGAATTACCAGCCTGCCATGAACGAGGCGGTAAAGCGGTTGCCAAAGGATATCGTCGGTCCTGATCAGGTCTCTGCGGCAGATATGGACGTGATTGATGCCATCATGGGCAAGCTCAGAGAAAGGGAGTGAGTTGAGGGAGGTCAAGGAGAAAAGTTTGAGAGACCGAGCCGAACGAAATCCCGGAGTGGCAATATACCATTCCGGTAGAAGGGGATCGAAAGACCAAATATGCTGGGCAGCAAGAGATGTTTGCCCCACTAGTGACAACTGGACGAGCAAGAGCAGAGCATCCCAGGCATCACGCCATTCCATAAAAAGGGATCTCAGTCCAGCTTAGTACCACGGGAAGATCAGGCGGCTGCTTGATCACGGCGAACTTGAGAAGGATGCACACTTGTGCATTCAAATGGTGTTTTCAAGCCTGGGAGATAGTCGCCACAAGCTTCTTCCGGGCCAGAACCGAACAGAAATATAACGAATGAAATGTTTCATTTTGATCAATACAAGTACAGACGTTGACCCGTGACCGCCGTGCTGTGGATACGCCTCATTGCCGCTGAAATGATACTGTGTGCGCCTTTGAGAGCTGCACTGCGCTACCATGGCTTGCCTTCATATGCCTCTTAGCCTTAGTATGTGTGCCTGTAGCTTTCCGATAGCGCGCATACACACCCCGTGTGAGAAACAGCGCTATAGCACCCTGTCCTTCTCCCTCGCGCCAGCATAGCAGTTCTCACAGCTGCAGTGTATATGTATAATCATCCTCCATATTCTGACTGACCCAAAGAACCACCGAGCTCAGCATGACCAACCCATTGGCCACCACATTGGCCACTCCCATGTACACCGTCTGCAAGGCATAGTCCTTGAAAAGGTACTTGAGCACCATGACCGTGACACTCCCGGCCAGGCCGCCGGCCATGAGCGCAAAGCCCAGAAACAAGACGGTGCGCGCTTTCCAGGCCACCCCGTTCCCGCTATACGACCAGCTGTCCGCGGACAGGCGGGATTTCTCGATCGAGTTGATGACGAGCATACCCAGCGCCGAACAGATCAGAGGGATCCAATCGACAAAGTTGATGTGCACGTGGCTACCGTTGAGGGGAGACTTGGAGAAGACGCTGGCATCCACGAAGAAGAAGAAGCCGAGAGAAAACTGGAAGTTCGGGGGTTTTCTATTAGTGAGGTTCCTCGGGGTCAAGGGGACAAAAGTCAAGAGGTATAGCGAGACATACGAGAGCGCCGGCAATATAGACACCAGCGGTTCTGGTGTTGGCGCTGTTCAGCCAGGCAGGCTTCGAAAAGCGGAACAGACGCTGTGAGGTCGACATGGTGTAAGCAAAGGAGGCTTCGACAGGTAAAGACCGTGCGATGGGGATAATTGTATATCGTTCTCGTAAACGCTAATGGTTCGCAGGGACGTAATGAAGAATAGATGTCCTGGTCCGGACGAAAGCTGGGAATCCGCAGGCTGGCACGGCTGGGTGGGAGCAGAGAAGCATCAACCACTCGGAGACTTTTTCCACCGAGCTCGCGGTGGAAATTCTTCGGTTAACCTTCCCGATAGGGTTAGTGTAACAACCACAACAAGAATGACCCTTCCTGTCTTCTTAGGACATGGCCACTTGGCCTCATTGCTATTGCGGCAGTCCCAGTCGGGAAGCCATACGGCCCCATCGACAGGCACGAAATGGCAATCGCTCTACAGCGTCGGCATGGATCACCCTCCTGGCAGCAAGACCGTGGGAGGTAGATGGCTCCGGAACGATCCCACGCACTAAGTAAGCCCATTACAGCCTTGACGTCCGTCGCCGATAAGTAGTCCGATTCTATCCCGGCGCCAGCTCGATCTCTACTTGGAGTGGAATGCATTCGAGAATACCCCATAACAGACATCTACGAATGGGACGATGGCTGGATAACTAGATTGTAATGTTGGAGGCCGTCGATATTACGACTAGCATCCGCTAAATATAGGCCTATATATATATCTTAACGTACGATATTTATTGAGGCTCCATCAACCCTTAATCAGGGCCGAGGTATCGACTTAGAGTAATAGGCTGATCGATGCCGGAATCTTAAGAATCCTACTACATGACTATAGCTTAGAGCGTCGACTACCCTACTTCGGAACTCCTGTCACGGATCTCCAAGTGCTTGAAGAAGGACGTCTACTGTAAGATGCAATGTCGAAAGATCCGAGGATCCGCGTCCTCGCAATCCCGGTATTGCTTCATCAGATCTACGCTCACGACCACACTACGTTGCAGCCTTGTGCTAGAGCTGGTTGGCCTCGTCACCCTACACTCGTAAGCGCCAGCTACCCCGTGAACGTCTGGACTTAGTTCGAGAATAGTTACGAGTAGGATAGTGCACGACGATGACTGACGACGAAAGTAATATGGAGCCTAAAGTTTAGTTCAAGACCGCAGGCTGCAGAGATACATGGAAGGGGCACGAGGTCAAAACATGCGCGGCAACTCATGGGCTCGATCCTGGTCCTCAATTGGCACATGAACATCGTGAAGGCCACTTCTCGGAGAAGGAAAGAATAGCATAACCAGTAAATCCCATTAGGAATAGCCTTGTGGGCGAGCCACAGCTTGTCATTGATACAAATATACCAGAATTCGCTTGCGTGATCCGTTGTGTAGAACAACTTCCACCTCGTATGTTTTCGTCCAACATTGCGGAGCAATATCTGTTAGACCAACCAGATTCATGACGCCTAGCAGATGCATCCAGATCCTCAAAAGTCCGCGTTTGCGCTGCGCTTTTTAAAAGTCTTGCTCCTCCTTGAAAAACTGGGTGAAGCTGATGATGGTGCCGTATATCAGCAGACCACCGACAATTGACATAACCATGGCCGGAATCTGAATGAGAGCAGAATGAGCGAGCAGGATCGGCAAGGCTGTCGTGAAGTGTTGGTCAGTGTACTCGCTCAATATCCTCCGGCTATGTAAACGTACCGATACCCATAAGGACGAGGAATCCTGTGGCAAAGCGACCCAGATCTATCCAGGCGCCGGAATTGCTCTCAATAAAGTCGTCTGCATTGGCACATCGTCCTGCCACCCAGTTCGGCACGGGCGCTAACACATAAGTTGCGACGACGAGTAGGGTGAGGAAGTTATGGAACAGTGCAGCGGAGAGGATGACGAGGAGGAATCCGATGGCAAGTACCTGGCTCTTTGTTAGTTGCGCGCGCCCTGGATAGGATCATACTAGCTCATGCGGCGTACAAAGGAGAGAGCAATAATCGTTTTCAACCCTGCCGTCATGATCATGGGGAAAGCAAGATCGAGTAGATCGCTTTATCTGGTCTTCGTGATGCCTGCGCAACTACAAGCGCTGCGACTTGGGGTTCGAGTGATCGGAAGGATAGAAGAGGCGGAGCGAAGCGAGAGTGGGCTGAATAGTGTTATCGCAAGAGTCGTATATTGGGTTTCATGAAAGAAATGGGTTGTTGGGTCGGTGGTTAAAGGGTCGGCCAACTTGTGAGGGATGTTTCGAAGGAACCTGTGGCTGGGCGCCGAAGCTCCTCCGCAGTCGATCGCGAGAACCTGGAGTTTGCGCGTCTGCAAGTGCCTGGCTTCATTGATTTTATTCTAAATTCCAACACCCACCACCCACGACCCGATCTCTCCTTTGCTGTTTATGCTCCGTACTTTTCATCTACTTGACGTGCAATCAAGATGTTTAGAAATAACTATGACAACGACTCCGTCACCTTGTAAGGCTCCTTATTGACCACCCTCCACACCCTCAGATACTGATTCATTTCCAGTTCACCTCAAGGCCGGATATTCCAGGTCGAGTATGCTCAAGAGGCCGTCAAGCAGGGATCGGTAGTTGTCGGGGTCGTCAGTAAGAAGCACGTGGTTCTCACTGCTCTGAAGGTCCGCATCCAAAACAGCTTCGTTCTCAAGAAATCCGCCGCTTACCATGGCTATAGAGAAATGCCGAAGAACTATCCTCGTACCAGAAAAAGATAGTCGGTGTCGATGACCACCTAGGAGTTGCCCTCGCCGGTCTCGCCTCAGACGCCCGTGTCCTTTCCAATTTCATGAAACAACAGTCACTCGCCTCAAAAATGACCTACGGTCGTCCGATACCCGTCGAGCGCATTGTGAATATGATTGGCGACAGAGCTCAGACCAACACGCAACACTATGGCAAGAGACCCTACGGCGTGGGACTGTTGGTGGCGGGTGTCGATGAGCTGGGACCTCACCTGTTCGAGTTCTCTCCGTCAGGGATGACGCAGGAGATGCTAGCTTGTGCGATTGGAGCGAGGAGTCAGATGGCTCGAACGTACCTGGAGAGACACTTGGATAAGTTTGCGGACTGCGGCCGTGAAGAGTTGATCAAACATGCGTTGCTCGCATTGAAAGAGTCTTTGGCTCAAGACAAGGAGCTCACAGTGGACAACACCAGTTTGGCGGTGATCGGTATCGGCGAGAAAGATGGTAGGAAGAAGCTGGAGGCCTTCAAGCTCTATGACGGACAGGACGTTGGGCCGTTGCTTGAAGCGAGCGTGGAGACGACGGCAACTGAAGGCGGAGACGCAATGGAAACAGATTCGTAGGAAAACAAGTGATAAGAACGCATATTGCACGGCGTTTGGCGTAGCAGGCTGCTACAAGGCAATGCGAGACAGTCTCAAGGAAATGGCCGGGCAGAATGGGTGGAATCGAAGAATTTCACTGTGCTCTATTTTCCCATCTATGACCAATCCAGCTTATACCTGCCAGGTGCAACCTGATAACCACGCAAGGCTTCGATGACCTGATCCGTGCTTTGGACCTCGACCAAGATATTAGCAGCGCCCTCTCCCACGAACCCTTCTCTTATCGCCGTCTTGACCCAGTCTAACAAGCCGTTCCAGTAACCGTTGATATTGACGAGAATGATGGGGATCTGATGGATGCCCAACTGATTCCACGTAACCATCTCCATGACCTCCTCCATGGTCCCATATCCTCCGGCCAGTGCCACAAACCCTGAGCCGGGCGCACCGGCTTGCACTGAATTTGCCATCATCCGTTTTCGAGTGTGCATGTCCGGGACGATGGTGGTTCTCCCAAACTCGGACTCGGGCACAATTTGTTTATCCGGATCTTCGGTACTGTCGATGCGTTGTAATTCCTCCGTGGACATGGTGCGCTCTGCCTTTCTCGTTCCGAAGCGACTGGTTTCGCTACGCACAGAAGGGTCCTTCTCTGAGCGGATCAATGCTCTGGGGATGATACCGTGGACTGAACTGGGACCGGAGAGGGAGACGAGCGTTTTGGCCAATTCGCCCATTATGCCCATGGTCCCTCCGCCATAGACGAGCTGGTAGCCGGCCTCATGAAGAGATTGCCCCAGTTCTCGTGCGGACGTGAGATGAACGGGATCTTTTCCTGGTGAAGAAGCACAACTTAAAGAAACCTGTTAGTCACCCTGCTAGGAGCTTCACACATGGGGAGATCGTGTTTCTCGACGCACAAGACGCAGACGACGGGAGTCGCCCCGCTGGATTCCTGGGCTGCTGGCATTATAGAGCAGCCTGATTGAAACGGGGAGAGATGGGCAAGATGAAAGTTCTTGGACGGCGAAAGGCTAAGATCATGAATTGGATGGGGTGTAGTAAGTGTGGTTGTGAACTGTCGTTTATGTCGGTCTCGAAGTCGAGGGAGAGCAAAAACTTAAGAAGAGAAGCAGCAGACGTGCGTGAAACCAGAATTGACCTAGATCATGGTCCGACCTACGAAATACTATTTGGAAACGTTGTGCGAGTTTCGGTGAAGACTGATTGGGAGGGGAAAAGTTGCAGATGTTGGTTGTTGGGCATTTGTTTGGTAAGCTGGACACACAGTTTATGCGTGGCTCGTTCTGGACGATTGGTTTATGAGTCAACATGACGTCGGAGACAGCAACCTCGTGTGGATTCAATGGTGCCACGTGAAGGGATCGTGGGAAGGAGAATGTGGCTCCCAGTCCTCGGAGGTCGCCGATGGCATTAGGATTCTCAAGGGAAAGGGAGGACAAGTTGAGGTGGAAGTGGTGAGGGATGCAGTGAGCATTATTACATAGGCATGAGGTAGACATAACGTGTACCTAGAGAAGATGGGTATAGGTAGGGTAACGCTGGTAGCCCTAGGTACCTAGTGCTATTGTAGGTACCTAATACTTAACAGGGAGTACTTGGTATAGTAGCAGTATTAGTACGAAGGTACGAGGATACGAGGGGGACAAGGTGAGAGACTGGGGCTTATCGATAGCGATAGCGGCCAGCAGGATACAGTAGGTGCTAGGGAATACTAGGTAGGTACTCGGTGTAGACCAAAAACGCTTAGGTAGTATTTGTAGGTAATAATAGCATTCACTAGTGGTACCCAGGTAGGCACTGGTCTTGGTGGGTAGTATCGAGTACCTACTGTCCTGGGACATGTACGTGCTAGGCAGCCACCAGCCTGGCACCTTCCAAGTTATTGTCCCTCGCATCACCACGTGATTGTCTCAGACGCACGAGGAAAAGATTCTCTCTCTTCTCTTTCTTCCTTCCTCCTTCCTTCCGCTATTGTGCCGTCTTCCTCCACTCTTTTCGCTTACTGTATCCGCTCCTGTTCTGCCGATCTGCTCTTCTTCCTCTTCTCCAAACTCTTCTTCCCCTTGCAGCTGCAAGGTTATTCATTCTTGTTTCCCCATCAGTGCCTCGTCCCTGGCTGCCTCAGAGCCTCAATCGCCCCAGCCTCCTCCATTATCCAGCTCACGGGACCCCTTCAACTGTTCCATGCGACTGACACTGGGCTGAACAAGCTCGTCATGATCCATCACAGGATCTCGTATCGCACCCGTTCTCCCGAGCAATCGCAGCTGTTTGACGGCCCGCATGGCTCGCTTAATATGCTCGTACTGGGTCCCTTCTGACTCGAAGCTTTCGCCTCTGCCTTCTTTGCAAGGTCAACGCAATGAGCCTTAGACTGGCCCGTTTCGGGCTTTTACTACGCCATCCCTCCATTCCGTCACCGTCCCATTGGTTGTGAACAACCACGCCTTGCCGACGGTTTTGCTTGTTCTTGCCTGCGTGCATGTCGGCCACTGATACATGCGGCCAGAAGCCGTGCAAACAGCCAGCTCCAGGCACTCCATCCTCGGAATCACACCCTCCTCGGCCCCAATAGTCTCGTATCTTGCGATGGGGAGCTGAAAAAAGAACCCCGCTTTCCCTGGTAGGGCTACCAACTACATGTGCTGTCGGGCGTGATCGTTGCAGATACTCTCACACCTCTTTGGCCCTTCGTCTTCAAATGTCCTAGCCGCCAACCTCTACTGAGACCCTGCCCCGGTGGATTTCTTGGTTTGATGCTTCAAGACCTCGCCGTCCCGCTCTCTGCCTCAGGGTTTTTCCTCTTCTCTCTTTTTGCTCCGTCAGCCTTATCCTTGCACCAGGTTACCCCGCCTGCCGTCCTGACGATATCATTGTCGTCGCAGCGCATATCCTGCGGCGCAACCGGTGCCTTGTGCAGCCATGGCCAGCACCACCGACTCGACTGATCTGAGCTCTGCCACGAGCGATGTGACGAGCACCATTTCCACCGACACCACTACTTCAACGACAGATTCGACGACTGTGTCGACAACAGACCCTCCTACGTCGACGACGACGACATCTTCAAGTGAGACCTCCCCTACTACCTCTTTTACTACAACCACCCCCAGTAAGTTGATGAGTGCCATTTTGCACTTGTTTGATCTTCCCCCCGCTTCAGCCTCGCATCTATCGCGCTTGCGGATTTTCTTTTTTGTAACATTTGCTTCGTGGCAGCTACCACAAGCTTCACATCGTCGTCGTCCACCTCCACTATCCCAACCAGTACAGACTCTTCCACTACTTCCACGCTGCCTCCAACAAGCAGCTCTACTTCAACCACCATTTCCACAAGTAGCAGCACGTCAAGTATTACCCCCTCCCCGTCGTCAACCAGCAGCAGCAGCGACAGCAGCAGCAGCACAAGTATTTCCCCTTCTACAGAGTTTAGCAGCAGTACCTCAAGCGTCCCCTCCTCTACATCTTTTACTAGCACTTCTACTACCTCAAGTGATATCCCCTCTTCTTCTCTCCTAGTATCTACTTCCCCTGGTGGCTCCTCGACGTCCGCTTATACCTCCCCCTCAACTATAGCTACCTCTTCTATCCCCAGCACCTCTTCCCCTACCACAACCTCTTCCTCTCCACTTCCAACGACGTCGTCAACGACGCCTTCTCCCTCCCCCAGCACTACGACTACCACTTCTGAAATTCCAAGTACTACTAGTGAGTCTTGTTTGCTTGTTTGTTTCGTATCGTCCACCATCGTGTCTATTAGCATATTACTTGAGAGATCTCCTCCTAATCTTGGGTGCTATACTAGCCACAACTTCCTCTTCTCCCTCTCCAACAACCATAAGTACCACTATCTCGACAACCACTACAACTCCACCTCCATCCACTACTTCATCCTCTACATCTACCACTCCCTCAACAACCTCAGAATCGTCCACGACCACACCATCAACCTCTAGCACTTCGTCCGAATCAAGCACAACTGAACCGCCAGTCGTTATAACCACCTCCAGCACCTCAATTTCCTATTCGACTTCCACATCGTATGTTACTCAAGTCCTCCCGACTACCCAAGATGGCCAACCAGGCTACACCACCCTCACATCCGTCGTGATAGTGACCAACCCTGCCACAACCCTCGTCGCACCAGCAACCTTTACAAGCACTCCCGGCAGCAGCGCCCCAACCCTCCTTCCAGCGAACGACGGTGGAGGCGGCGGGTCAGGCTTATCAACAGGGGCCAAAGCTGGCATAGGGGCCGGCGTCGGTGTTCTTGTGCTAGCAGCCGCCATATTTGGCGGCTGGTACAGTTGGTACATGAGGCGACGGAGGAAACGAAATTCCTACTCTCATGATAGGTATTCGGATGGTACCTTACCTAGCATGACAGGGCTCGGCATAGCAGGAGGCGGAACTGCAGGGATGGGAGCTATGGCCGCAATGTCTTCGGGTTACCGTGATACCTCCAACCGCTCCGACACGCGTTCAGAACTACCATCCCCTCCAGCTCCTTCCCCACCACCTCGTTCTCCAGACCGACTTCTTCCACCTGGAGTGGTACCTTTCCGGTATCGAGGTTCTAGCTCTCCGCCACCCAACCAAGACCCGACCCACATGTCTGTCTCAGACCAGAGCGAGTATTCACAGGGGAACAATCAACCTCAACCGGGGGGCCCATACCCTCCTGGTCCGAATGTGCCCGGAGCTGCGTACTTTACGAATCTCAATGAACTCCCTGAGGACCAGAGAAATATTCACCAACTGCCAGATGACCAAATCTCCAACCCCATGTCACACCAAAGCTACCAACACGCCAATATGGGTCACGATGGATATTGGTCCGGACAGCCCTCAGCACCTTCAGCACCATCAGCGCCGTCAGCACCATCGGCGCAGGAGTCCTATGAGTTACCTGGACAAAATCCTACTCCTGCGCAGCCGCAAGGTGGCCAGGGAGGCTATCGTGGCGCGGATCGAGAGGTTCCTCTCCATCAACGCCTAGAGGGGAGAGTGCCATACCGACCAGGCCATCTGTCGCCTTCGCACAATTTTTGACTTGATGCATCGCTTGCCGGGCCAAAAGTGTGTATCGTGGGTATATTAAAACATAAAACAATAATGTCTTGTCAGATGATTGGATGAATGGGAACGAAAACACCCAACAAAAGCGTCTTTTCCAGATTAATCTGATTCGCACATCTGAACCCGTTGTGCTATGCCTTTGCTGGAAGTTGACCTCTCCTGCTTTCAAGTTGTTCAGGCCTAGCCACCCTCTGCACGATCTCATAGGGGCAGTGGAGGATATAATACAATAATCAGGTTGAAAGACTATTTTCTATGCACGTCCTCGATTTCTGCGCAAGTGATCGCCATATCCGGAAGTTTTTTGGTCTGAACGAACAATTTGTTGTCCTCCCGCGCCGAGAACTGTCACTTTGTATGTGTGTCTCCTGTCCTGCTGTACTGGTAATGGCGACCGGTTCAACAATGTTGCTGTCACAAATTTCTCTCTATCTCTCCTTCCCTTCCCTCTCGCAGTCGCTCGGTCGCTCATGTGCGTAGTATATTCGTAGACGCCGTCACTGGGTAAAGCCTCGTCCGTCGATTGATCGAGCCAGTGACATAGGGTGCGCAACCTAAAGCTCTCTGGTTCGTAGGTGCTGGGGAGCCCGTGCCCCCCCATGCCTCATTGAGCCAGGAAAGTTTCCTTTGATTCTTGCCCGTAAAGGCGGCACCTCTATCTGGAGATCTGGAATAAAACATGATCTCTGGGGTGGTGATGATGGGGACAAGAGGACTCTGGTGGCTCTCTTGTCTTGTCTTCCTTGCCGTGTTCCATGTATAGAGCCTTCTCGATCTCGATGTTAGCATTGAGGGAAGCGCCCGCCGGCGACACTGTCACCGTCGTCGTCGTCATCATCCCACGATATACAGTGAATAAAGTACACTTTTGTCGCCTTTCCCCCTCTTTCCTTCACGTCTTCCACGTAACAAGAGCGGAACTGGGTGGCGGAAACAAATGCCTGTATGCTTCGTTAGGGCAGAGCGCTTTCCATGTCTCGAGTGAATGATCGGTTAAACCCATGGCTCAATTTCGGGAGAAGAGAAAAATGTCACTCGATGGGTAGGAAAGAGGGTCTTTCGAGGGGGTGTTATTCGCCGTCGAGTCGAGGGTGTTGAGTTCAGTCCCGTTGTATAAAGAGATATAGAAGATCTTTCTTCATCAAATGAATGCCTAGGCAAGAGAATAGCTCCACGGCGGTTCTGGTTGCGCTTCAAACACGACGCATCGTTTGTTGTCGTTGTCGTCGCGGCGATCCAAATTCCCCCGCCAAAGTTGTTGACCCTATGTCCAGTTTGGCAGCGTGAACCCACATCGACGTCGTCGGTTCACCGGGGATGAATGCACAAAGAAAGGAAAGACCAGGCCTTTCACAAACAGATTTCGTCTCCAGCCGCCACTCACAGCGTGTCACTTGTTGCGTCGTCGTCGTCCCTGTTGAGAAAGAAGTCATTCCATGACAGATCCAGTTCCAGACTCAAATCCAAACTTGTGCAACGAATCTGTTAACGACTCAGGTTCTTCGACCGTCTCGTTTGAGGCTGCTGCTTGAACACGACAGACTGGACGATCCGTATTCTGTGCTCGCTGCACCACTTACCGAGTTCAAGCCTTACGATCACAACAACCACACCTTGACACGACTCTTTGTCCCTGACATGGATACCGCGACTCTGGACATCGATCGCCGTGGACGTGCTAGAGCGGTCTTGCCTCATGCATCTTCTTCACCGCCAAAGAAGCCTCGCTCCATTCGAGAACCACGTGGTCCTGAACTGGTCATTGACAACCGTGGTTATGCCAGAGCAGTGTTTCCAAACTCAAACACGGATTTGCATTTAGACGACGTGCACTTGCGAGTTGGCCGGCATGAAGAGTCGTATGAGCGCACGAAATTTCCAGATGAAGGTGGTTCTCCCTCTTTTGATTGCGTGTTTTTTGCTGATTGAACGTGGTAGATCTTGATGTCGAAGCCAAAGAAGTTGTTCCTCAACCAGCACGCTTTCGCCTTCACCAAGGTGACGATCCTCGGTTCCAGGCACCGGTGACACCGCAAAATGGCAATTTGGCTATGTTTCCTGCACCTCCGCGCTATCAACATGGATCCGGTATAGGAGAAATAGAAGAAATCGAACGACGAGAGGCAGAAGAAGACCAGGTGCAGCAGGCCACGTATCAACTTAACCACATCCCAGTGTTGCCACCAATCATTTGGGTCAAGCGAGCCGACGCATACACCCGTCTTCGCTATGCAGTTGACGTCGTGACCGTCCACGGCGAAAAGTACATCAGAATCGATGAGATACACTTTCTGTGTGCCGTGAACGCGGATTGGCTTCAGACCGGCGAGGACGTCACCATCCGCCGAGTGCAATACCGCCATTGGCAAGCCGGGAGACGCGTTGGTCGTCCAGAGATTCTCTTCGTGTTGTATCCGCTTGGGGAATTGGCGTATACTCCCACCAATAATCGCCGCAAGAAGGCACCTCTTGAATTCCGTCCTCAGCTGGACAACTATGGCCGGGTGCTTTTGAATGCGTTCGATCGCCCTTTGAAATTCTCCAACGTTATGCCTGGACAGATCAGTACAGAAATTGAGGGGTGGGAAATGGAGGCCATTTGCCGTTTGGACCCAGACATCTGTCACCAAGATTTCATCGATCGCATGCTCCCCAATCCTGGTCCTGGTAAGAATCGACCCAGCAAAGGCACACTGAATCACCGTCGTCGGCGGGATCGCATGAAGATGAGAGTCGTTCCCTGGCCTCTACCTCGACAACTCAGCTATTCCGATCAACAAGTCATCAATGAGCTGACCGTGTGGCAAATGGAGAATAACACGACTATGGGGTTGAGAGACCTGTCAAAGGAGGAGATCGAGATGCAAGAGGCAATCATGTATGGTGGGCATTTTGAGCGGTCAGGGGCCAATGCGCAGAATGACGGGGCAAGATTGGAGCAGTTTTGGGCCAACCTGAGACTTGTGAGGACTAAATTTGCGGAGGATTCGGAGGAGGTGAGGACAATCAAGAACAGGATCGCTGTGCAGCTGGAGAAGATGGGGCTGGAGTACGACCATCATGTGTGGGACGCCTAGGGCAGTACACGGGCGATGGCGATGGGCGATGGCGACGGCGATGGGGCGGTGCTCGTTATCAGGTATGTAGAGTTTGTGACTCTGTCTGGTGCTGAATTGGCACTTGAGGGGATCGAGGGCGTCAAATCTATCGATGATGAGATCCCATTGCTCGAGCTCTTGCCGGGCTCCCAAATTGAGGCTGTCATGGAGGCCGTATCCAGCACATGAGTGACGACAAGTTGCTATCTCGAGAGTCCATCACGCAGCCAGTCGCTCCTCTTTGCGAAGGTGGGACACGTCAATGCGAAATGCTGTGTCTATAGCATTGAATGGCGGGGTCCCGAGTCGTATCGCTCCTCAATAGCCCGCGAATTAGGACTCCTCAGTTTTCTCGACGCCGTCCGAGCCTGCGAATGGGCCAATTCCCTTCAAACCGTCCCTGTCAGCCACACTCTCGAAGACGAGATTTGCCAATCTCAAGAACAAGACGCGGTCAACAGTAAGAATGAATCAGGGAGGAAATTTATCTTTATCGCTCAGGTCGGGTATGTTGCGGTGGTTATCCGTAGTTTATCCGAGATCACGTGCACGAATGCCCCTTTTTCTCTTCAGGCGCCTAATCCACTTCATCTTCTCCTTGTGCCATGGAATCGACTCTGGTCGATCTGGAGGTTGGGCACTGCCCTTCTTCTTCCACTGGTTGGTCACCAGTCCGCCGTGAGTAGCAAAAGCTACCACCAAGTCTCTTGGATTTTGCTTGTTTAGACGCCCATGCCATGACCATCGATGAGTATAGGCACCAGAAAGACGCCATTGAGTGATGCTGCCAAAGACGGTCGGCGCCCTATACAAATATATCATGGGTGCTTACCGGCGACGCACGACATCAGCGTCAACGACGGTCGTCAGTGGCGGTACGTAGTGCATCCTCCTTCGCCGTAGGCGTGCGCGCTCCGTGCTTGACCACGCGAGGTATGATATTAGATGAACACGGAACCGAGGGTGCGAAAGTGTAGCCGGAGTCTTATAGTCTTATAATTGTCAAAGACCACTGGATTCACCTGAGAGGAAGAAGATCGAAAGGTGAGAAAGATGAGGTGAGAAGGGAGAAGAGTAGAGAAGAGACGAAGGTCCGACAAGAGGTAGTTGTTGACTCTGGGACGATCTTTTCGGTATCTTCCCTACTAATGACCTTGCCTGCCGCGATCTACACGAATTTACCTTGACTACCAATGTGAATACTTAGGTCAAAGTGATATTAAGGAGGTAAGCGAGTGATGAGACCTGACTAAGGAGGCGAGATGGATAAACCCCCTTTGTCAACTCCTTTAGAATTACACTGTTCCTCCATCTTGACAACCTCTCCATGCCTTTGCCTCTTTGAGATCTTTTTATTCAAGATCACAATATGTGTAGATACTGTCTAGGGACCGCTGAGACCCTGTGTACGTGTACGCTTCTCGACCCTCGAAAGGGCTGTAAGGTTTTCCGCAGAACGCCCGTGTGCAGTGCAAAGAGATGTGCTTATATCTCCACACACCCATGATGATTGTCACCCACATACCCGGCCAAAATACAAGACATGGCGATTCTTACTGTCCTTGCCACACGTCAGAAAAACCACTGGCAAGCTTACTGTTGGAAGATGGACAAAGACAATGGGATCTAACCACTCGATCCTTTGTCTTTGGTCATATTTCCACCCTCTACTTTTATGCTCTGGCGCAGGATACACACTCCTCATAATGGCCAGCCTATTTCATTCACACCTGCATTCGGAGATGCTTTGTTCACTGCTCTACTGTGTGATCTGTTGCACCTCGCAGTCACCGGATACGGCTATTCGTGGTCTTTTTGCGTGACAATTCGCTGCCTCCGTCAGTAGCGACACCCCATGTTTTGTGTACAAATACATTTTTCCCTTTGTCCAGTCTCTACATTTCCCTTGACACTGCACAGCCAACTCACTAGCTAGTCGATACTTGGATAGCTATCCACCTGACCAACACTACCAGTAAGTCACCATGGTCTATGGGGCACCCTACATTCATGAGCTGACCACCATTGTCTAGTCACAAATACTTCTCCCCGCTCGTATTCACGATGAAGGGTATTGCGACTGTGGCATTTCTCGCCTTGGTCTCCACCCTGGCAAACGCCAGCAACGACCATGACGCGGACGATTTCTGCATCACGGCATGCCAGAAGATCAAGAGAGGCTCCATGTCCATCTCTAGCCCAACCTGCTCTGGAGTGACCGGTGAATATTGCGAGGACCACTGCACTTGGTAAGAAAACCAGGCCCATCACCTCGCCCCCCTCCTTGGTGTGACTAGAGGTCGCTAACGTTATCCGTTCGTTGTAGCTCTGGCGACGGTGTCATGACTTGCAACAACAAAGATGTCAAGTGTTCGGCTGATGCAGTCACCAAGACGTGCAAGCAAGGACTGTCCAAGCAGTGGGAGTGCTGGTGCCAAGATACGTCGTTCTTTTCTGATGGATGGGGTCCAGGCGTGGGAGAAACCTGCGCTAGCTTGTGATGCTACATTGTTGGTTTTCTTGCCAGTCGCTTGGAGGTCGCTTTCGTGCACCGAGTAAGGTGACTCGAGTACCGCGCAGGATACAACATTGGTCGAGTGTGCCATACGGCATATCCAATCCCTCTGTCTGAGACTAGAAGAAACAAAGCAAGGCCCTCGGAGCGGATGAAATGGTCGACCATGCAGTCACAGGTCGGCTATTGATCGAGCTACATAGTTAGTCCTAGACAAAGGCGTCTGCATCATTCAGCAGCGCAAAGAAAAGAAATCTTCATTTTCCCACACAATTTCCCGTCGTCGTCGTCGGTGCCTTCATACAGTTGTATAGCTACCTTGTATGGAATCCCCAAAAATACGAGGCCGGGTGGACGGGCTTGCAGCAAGGCTGAGGTCAAGAAGGGGGAGAGAGCTGGCGAGCTGGGTAACTTACCGCATCCGGAGTAGTTCATCTACGTCATTGTTGGCTTTCATCCCTCAATGTACCTACTCTCTTCCGACAAACTGGCAGACCGGGCTGCGGGTCGCATCTTCTTCATTATTCTCCAGGAATGGCATGTTGATTCCTCGTCTACCATTTTTGATACGACAGGGCGGTCACAGACTGGTACTGGACGTCTGTCGCCTCCATTCACCAAAGATGGCGGGCAAAATGTCCACGCACTCGCCTTCAATGGCCAAGAACCTCTCTGTTGAACCGATGGTAAGGGGATTGAAAATTTCTCGGTCGCAAGCAAGCACCGTTACAAAGCCGCGTGGCTGATCGCTGAAAGGAGCCCAGAATACCAATGATGCGAAATGGATCACCCTGAAGAAAATCACGTACAAGGACCCAGCGGGCAAGCAAAGGCTCTGGGAATCTGCGGAGCGACAGGTCAATTGAAAACCCCGCAGGAGTTGCTGTGGGAAGGCATACGGGAGAAAAAGGTTGACTCGAGCTCTGCAGACAAGACCCAAGGACGCCGAAGTCGACGCCGTCGGCGTCGTCGCCATTCTCAACGATCCCAAATCCTCAAAGGGCCCCTCCCTGCTTCTCCAGAAACAATTCCGTCCCGCGGTCGACAAAGTCACCATCGAAGTGCCGTCGGGCCTCATCGACGCGGGAGAGTCGCCCACGGAAGCCGCCATCCGCGAGCTGAAAGAAGAAACGGGCTACATCGCCACCATCCCTTCGGATGCCAAAGCCGCCGAGGGTATTCTGATGTTCAATGACCCTGGGTTCTGCAATACAAACACAAAAATGATCTTTGTCGAGGTGGACATGCGCGACCCCAGGAATGCAGAGGAGAACCTCAAGCCCGAGCTGGAGGAGAGCGAATATATCGAGTGCTTCACCCTGCCTCTGGACAACTTGTGGAATGAGCTGGGAGATCTAGAGGCCAAGGGCTTCGCCATCGACGCGCGTGTCGGGACACTGGCGCAGGGCATGGAGATAGCGAAGAAATGGAAGGACGTGCTCAACAAGAATCCCTCATAGATGAATGGCGTTGCAAGGGACAATACGGCCTAGGAAGGTGTCTCCTCCCTCGTTGCGGTCATTGTCCCCGTCTCTTCAACATGCTCTATTTCTATCCATGCTTGAGCAATACCTGATAGATACGCTAGCTTTCTCATGACAGCCGCCCGTGCCGTTGAAGATCCTATCTATCTCTCATGTACATTCGTCCCTTTACAAGATCGAATGGTGCAAAATGTGATGTTCTGCGCTCATGACAAAACTTTTCTTTACTTGCAAGTATTCCCATCCCAACCAAAGAGACCTCGGTCCCGATATCAAAGGAGTAAACAATGTAGTCGTCAAAACGCTCCCCCTCTCCTCTGGGTGAGTCACCGCCTAAAGATGCCGGTGGCCCAGCAAAATCTCAAGATGGCAAGACCCCACGCCATGCCCAGGGAGTCCCTGACCAGATTCAACTTGCTGCCCGTCACCTCTCTCCAGCCCACTGCGACCTCGGCCACGGGGATGTCTGCGAACTCGGCTAGCATGAGCATCTCGACGTCGAAGATCCACCCTTCCATGTGCATGTGCGGGACGATGTACGGGAGCGCCGGGCGCGAAAACAGCTTGAAGCCGCATTGTGTGTCCTTGATCCGCGCCGTAGCCGGTGGTGTCATGAGCCAGAGCAACATGTGGAAGCAGCGCATGAGGAAGTTCCGCACTTTCGACCGCTTGACCACCACTTCCGAGTCGACCAGGTGCGCCCGCGACCCGACCGCTATGCCCCTGCCCTCGGCGTCCTCGACCTCTTGACATGCCCTCACCAACTTCTCGAGGTCGGAGAACTTGGATGCTCCGTCCGCGTCTGCGAAAACGACGTATCGCCCGCGGGCGTGGCGCATGCCGTGTGTCACGGCGCCGCCCTTGCCGCGGTTTTCTTCCAGCGAGACCATGCGGATGGATCCTGGAGGGATTTTTACACCCATTGGAGACCGATGGGTCCAGGGGCCCGAGTCACGGCGGGGGTGAGGATGGAGGATGTGTTTGCGAGAGAAGGTCTGGACGATGAGGAGGGTGTCGTCTGTCGAGCCGTCGTCGACGAGGATGATTTCCCAGCCTCGAAGGGGCTCTTGTTGTTTAGATTGCGAAGCACCGCCGTTCGCTTTCCTGCGCCGTGGACCGTTGGCCTGTGTCTGTCCTGCTTCTTTGTCCACCCCGGATGTGGTGGGAGATGTGCCATACTCTGTCTCGAGAAAGTTCACGGCCTCCTCCAACATTCCTGTCAGTCTATCCTCCTCGTTAAACGCCGGGATGACCAGGGTCACGAACAACTCCGCGGGTTCGATCTCCTTCTCCACGTCGATTTCTGTGTCTGGGTCTTCTTGCTTCGCCTTAACATACTTTTGTAGGGCTGCATCGTACCAACACGGCAACGGTTCTGGGTCTGTCACATCGCCCGTCTTGTCAACCGTTGTGAACGTCTTCTCGGACGGGCGGGGTTTTCGTGGATGAGGGACGATGAAGGTAATGAAGATCCATATCTAAGACACCGCGGAGCGAAATCGCAATTGTCAGCAGGAGGTCGAGGACATTGCTGGGAAGCCGCAAGAGGAGGGGTGTGAGACCCAGGCGGATTTTAGGAAATACACACCAGCAACAATACCGCAAAGGCTGCCCAGACCAAGATGAAGGGCAACAGACGCAATTGTAGGAACTTATCGTCTTTGAATACATTGGTGAAGTGACCGCCCATCCCAATAGGTCGTTCCATGGTGACCGCGACTTCATGCGCCCCTTCCCAAAGAGAGGGGGCTTCAGACGCAAGACGAGGAAACACGAATGCGGGCTCCTTTGGGACCTCAGACCTTTTGGAAGAAGACAACAAGTCTCAAGGTAACGTCAAAGCCATAGTAGTACTAGGAATATTGGTACGCAGGCTCGTCGTCATTCGTCGTCGAGCAGAGCGTGAGTAGAGCATACGGCTTTTTGTGTCTCGCACTTGTCCTGCGCATTGACATTCGAGTAAAGGCAAGATGTCAACAATTTTTGGTGGTCGGCAAATCGGCGCAATCATCAGACTCCGCGACCAGGTTTATTCCACACACGAGTATTAAAATAAGCAACTTAATAGCAAATCACACTCGAAGGAGCGGCGCGTGAAACAAGCAAGGCTTTTCGGCTGCAATGTGGGCATTAGGGCTGGTGTTCTGTGCTTTGTATTGCGGAGTCCTGGGATACCATGCATGTGGGATGCAAGGGTTTCCAAAGTTTGGCCATCGGCCACGCTGCGCGCCTCGAGCTTTCTCTACGAGTACGTAGCTCACCATGTCGTAGTATAGATCAGTTTCTGTCTCACTTTCGTAACCACCAGAAAAGCTGAGAGAAATTCCTCTTGATTCAACAAGACCATGACCCTCACCATAGCCGCTGCAACCCAGAACTCGCTTTCCCATCCTGGCTCTCTCAAGGGTATTCAAGACCGAATCCCACCAAGCCGATCACCGCGACGAGAAGCTTGAACTACCCGCGACCTTTGTCCATGCGCTTTCCAATTTGCTCTCGATCAATTCATCGACCGGCTCGGCGCCGACATCACTTACGCCGACGCCGCCAGCCGCCTTCAACCCGCTATCACCAGTATCTGGCCGGTTCTCCTCCAGACTCTGATCCAAGTTGCTGGCATAGATGACAGCGGCGAAAGCTTCGAGCTCCCTGACCTCGGCTTCTGCCGTAGATACATATTCATTGGGTGGGTTGTTCCCATTTCCGATCGCATGTGCCTGGCGTGTTATAATCGCCAGAATGTTGGCAAGCTTGACGCGGGGTTCTCCCGGCACGACTGTGACGGCAGAGTCAAGCTCTTGAATGCGCGGTTGTTGTGCGCTAGACATGGACGAAGATGGGGAGTGTTGCCTGGGTTGTGGATATAGTTGGGCAATAACCCGAGTGTCGAGCAGATGCGAGAACATGGAGTTGAGAAGCAGGGTGTGGATCCTCGTGAATGTTGGCGAGTCAATCAGATCGGCAGTCTCATCGAGAAGCTGCCGCAATGGCCCTGTCGACGTATCGATATGCATTGTGGGTTCTTGACGTTCGCCCTTCTCCGGATCCTGAGTGTGTGAGCCGGGAGATGTTGCAGGGGGAGTGATCACCCCAGACTCTATCAGCACCGTCTCTTCCTCCTCTTTGGGTGGTAACACATAGGGTAGCCATCTGGTGGCATATCTCTCCTGTTCGGAACCGCCCTCGACGCGCTTTCGGACATCAAGAACCAAATCGCTGAGCCGAGCGGCGGTGATTCCTTCACTGGGAGAGATGCCCCCAAATACTTCCTCCACTGCTTCCCTGACCTTTGACATGATCTTTGCATACCCCTTGTGCAGCAGAAACCAGGAAAATGTTAGATATCTCCTATTGGTTTCAAAGTCGTTTCCGAACGCTGCGCCGGAGCTTCCGTCGTCATGATCCTCCAATGAAATCGAGTCCGCTCTCTCGGGTGGTGGCGGCTGGGCCAACGAAATGACCGACGACAGGTAGTTTAGTCGACCCAAGAGGTTCAATTGTATTCGTGTGAGGATTATGAGGAGCGACAGACTGTATATCAGTGTGAATGCTCTTGTGATCGAAGTCACTTTCAATTCGTTCCAAAGTTGGGCCTTTGTCCGGCGAGGCCCCGTTGGCTGACTCGCATCTCCTTGGAACTGGCTGGCATGTATAAAACTCCCCGTCTGGAAGCTTGACATGCTTGCCGTGTCGCCGTCATACATACTTGAGGCTTCGGATTTCCCTTCTCCTGAGGCACGTGCCAATCTTTCGGCCTTCTTCTGTTGCAGTTCATGAGTCAATTGTTCGACCGGAAGATCCTCCAGAATGTTCTCGGTCAGGGTAGGGAGTAACGCGAGGACCGTGATCGTACAATCTGTCTGATTTTGCTCGAATCGTCGACGGATGCTGGGCAAGATGAGATTAGTAGATATTCCGCGAAAGAAGGTGGTATTATCTCACTTCTCCTTTGCGATCTTGTCCATCTGCATGCGCTCTCGCGCTTCATTAATCTTTCCAATGACATACTGGGCTGCCAGATACGTAGCGCCAACAACACCTGCGCCGATGGCTATACCAGTGCGATGCCGCCTGAGCCAGCGACGTGTGGCTGATATCATTTTGATTTTGACCAATGTGAGGGAATCTGTGCACCTTATCTCAGGTACAAGTTGTCCGCTGGATAGGACATGATCGCGAATGGCACAGAGGAAGAGATGGAGGGCTCTGGCTGAGCGTCCCGAGCAAGGTCAGGTACAAGAAGGGAGCAGGCACACTGAAGACGCAGTTTTAGTATTGAGTCAATTGATCACAATTGTCGATGGAGCGGATCAAACTTGTGGCGGTGCCTCGGCTGAAGGCTGGCAGAGCACCTCGTATGGAGTATAGTACCCGAGTAAGAGCATGGGCTTTTTCGGTGCGGGATGGGCTTGGGGGAGAGTCAAGATACAACTGGAGAGCCAATAAATGAATGAGAAGACGGGCCGTAAGCAGGTCGGTGGCAGGTGGTGGCAGGGGATCTGACACGTACAACTACGTAATAATGAGGGCTTTGCTTGGGTCGTTTCAAAGGGGGCCCCAAGGGGGCCTTTCAGCCGGAAGTACGAGGTACCTCGTTGTGCCTACCTCTCCTAGCCGAGAATGGCCTTCCCTGCCCGGCTGGACCCCACCATCGAAGGAACACTCAAAGACTCTTGGATGCACCTCATCGTGGCTTTATTCAAAGAGTCATACCGCTGCGACAAGTCCACCGATGCTGAAGGCACAATTGTTGGAGCCTGTATACAACCATGTCTTGAATAGTCGCTCTGTCCGAGGCGCCACTTAGCTGGCTGCCACCCCCTTTGCTCTCTCCTACCAATACTCCGCTGAGCGTACCACTTGCGAAAAAAACCCCCACCACCTTGAAGTCGAAGTTGATTTCAGTACCGAGTATACTTGCGCACGAAGATTGCTAGTTGCGATCATGGACCAGGGTCATCGCGAATACATCCTGGAGGTGTTCGCAGATCAAACATTTGTCAGGGACATAGTTAAAGGTACGGTGTAGTCTGGCCCCATACTCATGGTTCAGAGGAGCCAGCTCTTCTTCTCTCTGCCTTGGTTGCAAGGAGACTGGGACGACTAACAATTGGTCTCTGCGAACACAGGAGTCCTACACACGATATTCTTCCACCGTTACTTCCCACCAATCCGACCTTCTCTCTATACCCCGAATGCCTCCTCCCTCTCTCACACTCACACTTCGCATTCAACCCAATCTCTTCCCATAACGCTCCCTTCAATCCTCGAGCCACCTGAAATCTCCACAGCAATCGATTCTCATGCAGACCTACTCATATCCCAATTGACACCACAATTCTCAGCGAGCACAACCAGTCCGTCAGCCGCAGCCGGTGGCTCTCGCGGTGAAATTGTAGTGCGATTTTACGATCGCAAGAGAAGAAAAACAGGTATCACGACGGGCTGGTTGGGCCGCTTAGGAGGTGGCGGACAGACAGACGAGGAAGTATGCTGGGAGGAGTGGTGTGTTCAGGTTATTGTTGCAAGACCTAGAAGTGAAGCGGGTAAGGCTACCCTCCTGGCTTTTTGCCATATGCTGTGCGACACAGCTTTCTGTGTTACTAACGATTGGATTCACTGGCAGACCGCATCAAAGTCCGCCGTGCAATGGAATCTTCTCTACAGAAGACAGCGATGAAGATTGTCGCAATAGTAAACAGGGACAAGGATCACATTCCTCCCATTACCACAAGTGATCAGAATCCTTTTCCGTACAGGATATTTGTCAATCCCAAGCAACAGGAAAGTGTGGAACGTGGATTCGTGGGAGGGTGGAATTGAAGCTAGGGAGGTGCAGATCATATCGGCTGGACAAATGCATTCTCCTTAGAGATATAACTTATAGAGCGAACAAAAAGTTGGCTGTTTTTTTTGGAGTTTTCTTCGTTGGTTCCAATTTCAATCGACGCCTTCCTACCCCTGCGATCAGTAACTAGCCTCAACTAATCTCTTGAGAGCCATCGCCACCACCCAAGACGTAAATCAATAGGTCTATCGAGAAAGTTCATAATGATATGATTTAGCCTTCCTGAGCAACTCGTAGGTCATCTCCCTACAAACCGCAGAGAGCACCAGTTCCCATGACTCCACCTCCCACCAGATCTCGTTCTGGAACATGTTCCAGTCATTGTCATAATACCAAAAGCCTTTCCCTTGTGTGCTCAGATCGCATCAAACGGCAGCGATCGCTTTTAACTCTCGCACGAAGTTACGGTGAGATTCTTTGAGCCGTTTACTGGCTTTTGAAAGCAGCATCGGCCTTGCCTCGGACATCAGCAGAGGTGGAGGCTGCTGGTTGCTGGAAGAAACGAGAGAAGATTGGGTGGAGGAAAGACTTGAAGACGATCTGGGCGCCGTTGGTCATTGGGAGGGCCATCCACAAGATGAGGATGAATTTGAAGACGTAGTAGAAGGCTTTTGATGACAGGTGGTTAGTGTGGACATCGAGTGAGGGGCTGCTCTGCGCATCGACTTACGGAACCAGTAGACGGCATTGACCAAACTCTCAAGGACAGTAAGGAAGGCGTACACCACCCAGTACTGGAAAGACGGTCAGAATAGCTGATATCGGAAAGTGTCGGAAAGGAGGCATACCGTCAACCATTGTGTATCATCAACTTTACTGCTACTGAACAGAGCTTCCAGCGAGTAGTACCCCGGGATGATAAAGCCGGCGAAGTTGACCAGGAATTCGCCTCCAATGTTAAAGAAGACGAGGAAGAAGTAGAGGCCGATCAGGCCGAGGAAAGCGTAGACCTTGGGAACGTTGGTCTGTCTCTCGAAATTGTTGAGCATAGGATACTTGGAGAGCTGCAGACACCATCAGTTAGCTCAACCGCGCCAGTCGACATTGTGAGATGGAACGATCATGATGCACTCCTAGAAGGGCTGGACGATGGGAAACGTTGGATTGCAGCAGAAGTTGGCAAAACTGGCAGCCTGGAATTGACATGTGCCTCAACATACTTCCTTATCGATCTGCGAGATCTGATGCTGCGCTTTGTCCTGGAACGACATCTTGACAACAATATGTCGGTATCGCTACGACGAAAGTAGATTGATGTAGTGGGAATGGGGAAATGGAGATGTGCAGATGAATCTGGATTGCTGGGAATATCTCAGTGCGAACAAAATGTGTGAGTGGGAAGAGAGGTGCAGTAGTGGGAGAGGTGATGTAGTTTAAACCCCCAGGGGCAGGAGGTGACGTTGGTCCGTTTGGGTGTCACGGTGCATAGGAGAGCTACGAGTTACGAGGTCCCGGCGACTGACTGGTGGGCAATTGCTTGGTGGCTCAGTGGGTGCTGGAGGTGCCTGCAGACCTAACACGAGGGTCACTCGCAGTGGTGACGGCGCCCAATGTGACAAAAAGGTTCCCGCCTGACCCTGGCACCTGCACCTCATCACTCACCTGGGTTGCTTGTGCTCGTAAATCCAGCTGTGGCTGCACAGTGAGGCGTCCAGCACCCAATCCAACTGGTTGACGTAATACCAAAGATATGAACCCACAACCCACAAGCTCTTGTACCTCGTACATAAGGTGAATTCCCGCTGTGCGCCAATGAGGAGATGGCCCCGTCTGACGGAGAAATATTACAGAGTTTTGCCGTATCCGCTCGCTGTCAGACCGGAGCTCAATGTTTGTCTTGGCGAACTGTTTCTCTGGCAACAACCTTTGTCGAACTCGAATTGGGCTGTTACTCTCAACACAAACCAGCGACATGGACTGACAGCCACCGCGCGTGAAGTGATCCATCGCTGTCGAATTCGCCTCCTACAAAGCGTGACATCTTCCAGCGGCATCTAAGGTTGTCTGTCTATTCTTGCGCTTGCCCAACAGACAAGATACACGTTCGCGAACTGCGATAACAGATCCGATCCACGAACTTCGACGCTCGAAAGCCATGTTGTGATCGGTCAAATTACCAAGCGAGGTTCCGTCTCAACATATCGATAACGAGAAATCCGATATCTTCATCCCGTACACGTGTCAGAGTTTGGGACCAGAATATGTAGGATGAATTGTTTGTTTTTGTCGTGACGTCGTGCTAATTAGCGCACAGTTCCGCATGGCGCAGTCGCCAACCCACATTATGGAGGACACTCCCGATCAACAAGATCCTACACATGCAAATAATGCAAACAATAGAGAAAGACAACGTCCAAAATCTAGAGGCTCGACAACTAGCCTGCAGTCCATTGGCGTGGGCAGCGCCTTTCAACCATCTGCGCATCGACAACACCCGCAACAACAACAACAACAACCGGACGAGCCGAGCATGCCTTTAGACCAAGGCACCTTCTTTATACAACATGGCACTCACCCAGCTGCTGGGATATATGGCCCTAATCCTGAAGACATGCTCATGCACTATCAACACAATATGCCACCGCATCTCCATCAACAACCGATAGACCCTAACACGACAATGCCGCAACAACATGAGATGCGTCCCATGTCACAACAAGCTTTCCAAGAGATGCAACACTACCCTATGCAATATCCCCACGGCCTACCGCCATATGCTGTCGCTCCTCAACATATGCATCATATGCGGCATCATTCTGAACAGTTCGAAGGCTCTCCTGCGCCGGAAGATTCAAACAACGAGAATGGTGGGGCCAAACGAAGGAAGGGCACAGCTTCCAGCGTGGCTAATGACCAGGAACTGCGGCGACTGCTGGCTCAGTACCAGGGAAAAAGTCTGAAAGAAGTTGCCGTGGAAGTACAGAAAAACGAAGGTGCTGGGGGCAAATCTGAGAAGGCAAAACAAGTCTTTGCTATGCTCTGGTAAGTTTTCCATTGAGGAAGCCTACGGCGCCTGTACTTATGTTTGTAGGCTCCAAGAAAACTGTCAGCGGTCATCAAACTCCGTGCGCCGCGATCGTGTGTTTACAAGATACACGGAGCGCTGTGGCAATGAGCGAGTTCCGACGCTAAACCCAGCATCATTCGGCAAACTCGTCCGCATCATCTTTCCAAATGTCCAGACAAGGAGGTTGGGAGTCCGCGGTGAATCGAAATACCACTACGTGGATCTATCGCTAGTGGTTGACGATG